GGTCGTTAGGCCCGTCTGTGTAGTGCGCGTTTTTTCATGGACGATGGTGTTCGTCCCCCGTGGATGGTGAGACTCGGCGCCAACTTCACGTCGGTTCGTGGGGTTTCTACATCGAGGTATCTCCCACCAGGAGGTCACCGCCCCAGCCGAGACAAGCTCTAAGCTCCCGAGCTGTGTAGTGCATGTAAGTGTAACTGTGTTTAGGGGGAGAAGAACGAGAAAGAGGAAGGAGAGCTCGAATTGATTGCACAAACTACTAGCGATCACTCTACCCAACCACCAGAATGTCTCCAGGGAGCGGCAGAAATCGACCCAGTTTATCTACCTATGGTCGAAAATTCACAGCCGTCGAGACTTGAACTCCAAATCCTCTAATTCAGAGGCATTGCACTAACATCAGTTGATACCTGAGCCACCCCAGCCGGTAGAGTGAACACGAAAAAGATCTAAATTGAAGTCGAGTTTGCTTGACATATTTGTGCACTCGACTACCGTTAACCAAAGCTTAATAATACCTTTCGGGAACACGAAAAGTAGCAAAAACGACAGTCGCCAGAATAAATTTCAATATAATTGAAGGAATATATATAACACGCTTTTTAAGAACTCTATTACAATATACTGTAAGGATAAAAATGGATTAATAGTCAAATTTAAACGATAATTATACACTGGAATATGTACAAAGTGGATAAAACATGCGTATAAAATATACACATCGTAACATCTTATTAGTATGTTCGATTGGTTATCAAACTGGCCGAGTTTTGCTCAGAGTCAACATTGCCTCTAACTCTGCTGCCTGTGATCGGGTGATGTTGGGAGGTTCGAATCTCGACACTGAAAGATTTTCGACGCTATCTACATAGGCATGTAGGTGGTATTTAGCCGCTGGTTGGAGGAGAATTCTCGCGGCCAGTATTTTCCCGTGGTTTCTCCTATTCACCTTCAGGTGAATGCCGGAGCAGTTACCTAACAAACGGGTCACGAACCGAGCACGGTTTTCCCTTTCTTTTCCTTGTATTATTTCTGCCCCTTACACACAGACGTACACCTACATGCACTGCTCTACCACATGTGTTTAGAGCTTGTTCCGATTGGAGCGATACCTCGCTGGAGGAGATACCTGGAGGGACAGCCCTCCGCAACCGACGTTTAGGTGGGCGCCGGATCTCACCATCCAATGAAGGAGTGACACCGCAACCTCTCGAGATAACACATTCCCTACACTAAAGGGATTAATGACTACAGAATTTGTCGTTCCCGGTAACTTCAATCAAACCAAACTCTTATTTTAATAGGATGTTACGTGAGAAGATAATTTCGTAAATGACCTTCAACCCTTGCTCCATCCCAGAAGGGTTTGGCGTGAGGAAGTGAAGGGAAGTGCGGGGCGGTGCGGGGCGGGCGGACGTACCTTGAGCGCGTCGGGCAGCTGCTGGTCGGGCGCGCACGAGTCCTTGCGCAGAGAGACGGCCACCGAGAGGCGCTTGGCCAGCCCTGCAGGCAGCGCCTCGCCGCCCGCCTCCAGCTCCAGGGGCTCCTCCGACGGCGACACCGCGTCTGCGCCACGACGCACCACGCCCATTAGCACAGCGCTCGGCGCGGCACTCTCAAAATACACGCTTACACTACTTATCCCGGTGTTATAATGAGTTACACGTTAAGGAGAAATTTAAGATAACAAAACAGAAATTGTCATATGTTAGATTGTTTGTTCAAACTAAAGATTAAACGCCGCAACCAAATTTTTCAAAAGAGTTTTTTTTTCTTCTGGACTCTTTTGGACTTCTGGACTTTTGACTCCTTCTCGCGTTGTTAACATTTTCATTATTGGCAATTTCTATACATTACAGCATTTATGAGTACATGTGCTTCACATGATGTCCTATAAAGTTTCTCGAAAACTCAAAATTGTTCTGTGAAAACGAGTTCAAAATTCCCCGTTTTCAGAAACACTGAAACGCAATTGTTTTCAAAAAAGGCTCCAAATATTTTCTTGAAACTTTTTGTAAGAATAGTGCTAAATGCACTGTATACGATTATATAAAGGCCATTCTGCTTACTGTTTCGTTTTTTTAAAAATTACCGTATGTAAATGAATTATTTAAATATATATCACGCGCTAATATGTACGTTTCCCGCATTTTGTATACATTATGCCATTTGTAAGTGGAAGAGCTTTAAATTACTTTCAATAAAATTTTTGGAAATATAAAAGTTCTTTTTTTAAAAAATAGCTTAAAATTTCCCATTTACAGTAACTCTTAAACGGTTTCTTGAAAACTGCTTAAAATTTTAAAAGAATTTGTTAACTTCCCTTAAAGATGAGGTTTTTTCTTCTATAAGATTCTTAATGTAATATTTCGCGTCTACCATTGAAAACCGAAAAAATGAGAAATTAAAAAAAAATACTTTGAGCTATGATAGATGGCAGCTGGTGTGAGGATTGACCAAGACCGAAAGACGCTTGCTTGCCAACAGAGTGCCAAAAGCAAATAAATTAGAGCGATCGCTTGGCGCCACTAGTTGTGCGTGCACAGACCTTCGTCAGCCGCGCCCGCGACGGCGGCGGCGGCCACGAGCGCGTAGTAGTGGCCCCTGCGCGCCAGCAGCTCGGCGTGCGTGCCCTGCTCGACGACGCGGCCGTCATTTTTACGCGCATTGAAAATTAATAATAAAGATAATAATTGTAATAAGAATAATTAATAACAAATAATAACA